TAAGGATTTAGAGATTGAAACAACTTGGTGAGTTTGTTCTTCGATTGGATACCAATCTCCACAGTTGCCTGATTTCCCAGAATGTGGTTGGACCCTAAAATCCGAAGCCATTCCAGTTTGTGTATCCAGTTTTGATTTCTCCCTAGCTTTACGATAGAAGAGTTGGAGGTTTTTGACAAAGTTTTTAATCAACTTGAATTGGTTCCCTACTGGAACAGAGACCTTTCTGCTGCCTTCAACTCTTTTTTCGAAAATGATTACTTGATTCTCATTGGCTTCCTTGTTAACAGCCACAACCATATCCCTGTTACCAGTATATTTACTAAACACCCAACTTGGCTCAGAGTAAATTTTCAATAAGCATTCCAAAACCCAGCTGAATAGATCATAGTTGAACCAAATTATACTATTGCTTTTGCCCTCTACTGCCAGGCAGAAGGTTTGATTGTAATGAGAGTGAAAAAGATTATAGGTAACATTACCAAGCAGGAAATAAGCGTGCAAGTTTATATATATATATATATATATATATATAATTAGGAATGAGGATTATGTTGCTTATATATACGAGATGATCCATTTCTGTTTTTCACCACTTCCTCACGCCACCTTCAGAAATAAGAGAAGGAATTTTTTTCTTAACTCTTACACCAAATATTTTATATTTTATAAATATTTTAGAAAAAAATTACTAGCATAATTTATCTCTAAGAACACCGTTCATAGTTCGTCTATACACACTAGAGGCCTGATACTTTGTAGCTAACTCTTGGACCAATACCTTCAACCACGCAACTTGCTTGCTCTGCAAGAAAGGTATATTTCTAACAATAAATTATAGTTTTCATATGGTGATCATGGGCTGTAATATATTATAATATTTGACATATAAAAAATAAAATATTGTTTATTTTAATTCTTTAATAATGATATATGAGGTTTATAAAAATCTAGTAAAAATACATATGCATTTGTGACATCACATGTGGCATGGTGTGCACACGTGACATGAAAATTTTTATACAAACTAAATGTTCAATGAAAAGAATAATAAAGAAATAATTTTTAATTGAAAAATTAAAATAACAAACTTCAAATGAATTAATTAAGTAATGGCACATAATGAGAAAAAATATATATATGACATACAACGCGTATTATCTTTCAACTCTAACTTTGTTTTGTTTAGTTAGTTGAAAAAAATACACACCATATACTAAAATATACTTCGTAGTATGTAATAGGATAAAAAGTTTGAAATAATTTTAGTATTTAATAAATATTTATATGTGATAAAAATGCAATAATACTGCTTTGAAAATTTAATAACAATAAATAATGTTATTTTTGCTCAATAATAATGGTTATTTAGTGTGAGAAAGTGAAAAGTTCATAAAACTTTAATAAAAATAAAAGTTGATTAATGTACAAAAGTGAATGTTTTTCATGAAGATTTAATAATACTCCAATAAACATATACATGTGGCATGACACGCGCCGAGGTGTAATGCACACGTGACCTAAAATTTTTATAGAAATGTAATAATGGTCATCAGATAAAATAATAATGAAAATTATTTTAATTAATGAAAATTAAAATAAAAGTTTCAATTAAATCAATTAAGTAATGACACACCATTAGAGAATGCTTATGTTTTCATGTGCCACATGTAATCCTTCAATTCAACTTTCACTTTGTTTAGTTTGCTAAAAAAATATATCATAAAATAAGACAAAAAATTGAAATATGTTATGAAGATAATAAAGATGCATGTGTGATATAATTTATATATAATAGTTTCTTTTGAAATGATGGATAATTTTAAAAATTATAAGAAACATTGTTTTTTTCATTAATAAATTTTATACGGAGTATAATTTTTTTTAAAAATATAAAATAATCACGCTTATTTAAAAAAATGTTTCTAAAATAGTTAGAAAGTGAAAATTTTATTTAAAAAATAATAAAAATTAGGGTTTTTATTGTTGGAAACTGAAGTTGTTATAAAATATAATAAAAATAATGATTTAATACAAAATTAAATACGCATGTGTGGAGTGACATGTGTCTTCTGATTACATGTGGCATGACACATGTCAGTAGTATGCACGCGTGGCATGACACGTGTCATCACCACAAATATGTAACTCTCTTTTAGATATATACTAGTACTTTGATCCGTGCCACGCACGAGGTTAATTTTTTTTGTTAATTCTAATATTTTTTTCAATGTAATATTTTTTCCCGATTAAATAAAATATATTTTCAATAGGATTTTTAACACAATAGACATCAACGTCAAAGTAAAATAAATAATATTTGAAGAGTGAAAGTCTAATCGATAAAGTCTATCTTTTTATAAGCCTTAAAATATGTGCAAATGTTGTTTGCTTTTTTGTAAATTTTTATATAGTGGAAGAAGTAGATATACTTTGAGAAAAAATGTGTAGTTTGTATAAAAACAATCTGTCTCAAAGCTCCAATGCCCCTTGTGGTATGAAAAATTGGCATCAATACCCATCTGTTTTCAAAACTTATACTCCCTCCGTCCCAAAAAGAATGAGATGGTTTGACTTTTTGGGAAATTAAGGGAGATATTTTGGTATTGACTTTCCAAAAATACCCTTAATGTGATGGGTAAAAGTAGGATGTGATGGGTAGATTATTAGAAAAAAGGTATGATGTGATAGGTAGGGTATGAAAAAGTAAGGGATAAAAGTAGTTTTTTAATAGAAATGTAACGAACTTTATGGGACGCAGTTTTTTCTAAACGTAACAAATTTTTTGGGACGGAGGGAGTATCTAAAATCTCCGTAGTTTCAAAATGTTACACCCACACCTCCTTTGATCATTTTCTAACAAAAATGGGGTGTTTATGCCTATGTTCCAAACTATAGAGGCACTCGTTTCAAAATGTTGCACCCACACCTCCTTTCATACATGTTTTATTAACTAGTTTGTGTCCAATATCAATTGTCAAACTTAGCTAAATGTGCAAGCTAAAGGTTTGAATATAATGGTCAGGTCTTCGATAACCATATATAATTAATGTTCAATCCTAGGGTTCCCATGCCACGTGTTGCATTAGTTATTCATTAGTACCAAAATGGAACACGTTGTAAAACGTCAAACCGCCCTTCCTAAAACCCATACTTAGCGTAATCCAGCTCTTGAGATTTTATTTGGTTTTCTAAGTGCAGAGAATTTATTTGGATGAAAGGTTAATTTATATCCAAACCAATATGTGTACATGCCTACATGGTAAGGTAAGGTTCCTACCATATTACGAAGCCAATTAAATTAACCACACCAAACGATATCCCAAAAAATAATGCTAGGGCCACGAATAATTTTAATACAAACTCTACAAACTTACTATTTATACACTTTTCAAGTGAAGGAAATGATTTGAAGTAACTAAAAATAAAATTTTAAACACACAAATGGCAAGTTTGTGCCCCAATTGTTTGGGACAGCATTGCTAAAATAATAGTTTACGATCAAATCAAATACATATAGTCCGAAATTCAGATTATATATACTTATTGAGTTAAAGTTTGATTTATAGACTAAGGTCTAGATCTTAACTAGGCCACAATTAAGCCCACAACCACCTTATCATGCTGAGAGTATAAACAATGGATAAAACTATTTGCACCCTAAACTTTTGTACCTCATTTTGTACACCGCAGGTTTGCACCGATATTTTGTGTTGGTGTAAAACTAGTTTTTGTTAACTTACCAACACTTGTGTCGGTGTAAGCTATCAAAATGTTTGTGTATAGCTGCGGTGTACAAATGGAGTATAATTTTTTGTGTAAGTGTAACATGGCCCATAAACAATTGTCATTCTACACGTACTAGAGCGCCGATATAATAGTAATTACTCTTCGGCCTTGCAGCACAATGCTCATTTTTAATCCACTTATCTACACTAAACAAACTAATGTATTCATCTCGATCCCTATTCAAACCAAGCCTTTGACGAATAGCTTTCTTAAGTTTTAGAATATACTCTGTATATATTAAAATATTTTCTAAATCGCAATTACAAGTTTGAGTTTTTAGTTGAGTTGGTTTACACTAAGAGTACATGTTGAAAACAAAGAATAAAAGAAACCATGACCCACTGATCGATTCCTCAGACCAAACACAGAAGGGGATTCGGGGAATTGAAGTCCCTCTCCATATCAAGAAAATCCAACCCATTCTTAGCACTGCCGTTTCCGAAAAAGGAATGTTGGACACGATTTTATTATGTGGCCTGAGTTATCATTTATCTAATTAATTGATCATTGACCTAATAAATACCCTACGTACTTAATTGGTAATTATTCGATGGACGTAATTACCCTTATGACCTAATTAGGGTTTCCCCTTGGGTGTATATATATAGAGGTCATTAGACAGAGATTAACACACCAATCTTACGCCTCCTCTCTGCCTCTCTATTCTCGTGAGTCATCCTCACCTTAGCCATCATAACGATACACCCTAAACAGGAACTCAATCTGCGTGAGAATCATGGCCTCATCCCTAACTACGTTTACAGGATTATCAGGTACATATGATTAAATCCCTAATTTATATTTTATGTTTAAGAATTGATCAACATGTGGTATCGGAGCGTTATGTTGATTAATCAATTCTATTTCCGTAAGTTGGAATCAAAATCAAGAAAAAAAAAACAAGTTTAACCCTAAAGAGAATCGTTTTGAGACTTTCGGTTTTCAGTTTTGGTTGCCCTGTTGTTTTTTTTCCTCCGCCGCAATAGATGAATTTCACAATTGTTTGAATATTGCAAATCATCATTACGAACTGGTTCAGATCTCATTAAAAATCTAGATCGGTTCCCGAAATTTATTCTTTAATGTTATTGATTGTGTTTCCAATTTTTTAATAATTACCGATCCTATTAAAAAAAAAGGGTGTTCATATGTGTTCATCATGTTTTTTGTCAGTATTGGATAATAGCAATCTGATTTGTGTGTATCCATTCTAAAGTCTCAAAAAGAAAAAAAAAGATACCACCTAATTTTAGAAATCAGATTTTATCCTAAAATAAATTGTGTTTTCGGAATTATTTGTTTATTCGAAATCACCTGTCTCATAAGAATTACTTGTTTATTCGAAATCACCTCTTTTATGCCTTATGGTTTCGAATTAAATTAATCTTAATGGGTCCTCAATTTTTCGTAGCCCCGCCCCGAAACCACTTTAACTTTTGCGGCTAATTAATTATTAACAATAAATTATAAATCATTTGACTAATCTTAAATAAAATTTATTTTTTTATGATTAGTTAAATTGATTTACTTTGCTTGACTTGAATAATACCTTAGAGTGCACTTCTGCCCAAAGGTGATGTGTAACATTTGTAAAATTTATTTCAAGTCTTATTAAGCATAGTCACTTAGTGCATATCCTTAAATGGATGTTTGCATGACACTCGCCTTAAATACATAATATTTTACTTCTGT